GGTATGGCATTGGTGGGACGGAATATGGTCACAGCTTGGCACGGAAGGAGGAATGGCCATGGAGATGGGAAGCGATCCTGCTTGGGGACTAAAGAAGGCCACAGTCTTCCCCCTTTGCCAGCAACCTTTTTGCCACTGGTAGGAAAGCAGTAGTACGGTCCCTGTGGCTAAGGAGATGCATTTACACCCAGGAGGGGGCCAGGAGGGGGCCAGGAGGGGGGAAGGGGAACTCGCAGAAAGAGTGGCAGTGGTTAAGGTAGCCAGTCAAAGGCTACTAAGACACCAGATACAAAAACTACCTATGCTAATGATAAAGGCAATAAGACTTTCCAGCCAAGTCTCATTAATCGATCATAACGATATCGTGGAAATGATGCACGAACCCAAATTTATAAAAACAGAAAGTCTTCGGCCTTTATACTGAACCGAATCGAGCCCGGAATGAATAGCCATATTCATGATGGGCAACCAACCACCCCAAAAAAAAAGAGTACATAAACTATTCATTAATATCATATTAGCATACTCCCCTAAAAAAAAAAGAGAGTGAAACCCATGGAAGAATACTCTACGTAGAAACAGAAGTGAGAGTGCAATGGAAACAGACTCAGGAAAGGATGCAAAATCTCACACAGAAAGCAGATATCAGCAAAGAACTACAAACCTTTTGCGCAGAATGGCTGGGGGGCGAAAGGTCAGAGAGGATGGCACAGGTGGAATGGCCAGGAGAAARGGGGGAAGGGGGGGAAAGGRGGGGGGGGGGGGAGACACCACAGCGAAGGATTATAGGATCCTCTTCCATGACTGGCTGCAGATCGACCCCAGCATCCCTATGAAGGCTCCGGTGGAATCTCCGGACATGTTCGCACCGGCTGACACAGCGCTAGTGGACCTGCAATGGTTTTGGCCAAGAGAACTGAGGGTGGGGTTAGAGGGGGAGGGTGGTAGGGGAGGCTCATGCGTAGGATAATGGGAAACAGGGGAGACTAGGAAGTGGCCAAAAAGCATGAGCAGGGCCAACAGGGGAGGTTGGGATGATGCAGAGCCATCTGGCGGCCAGCCCGTGGCTGACGAGGTGGTCCCCAGCCCAACAACATACATCCATGAGATTACATTCCTGGAGAGTTCCAAATTCTGTATGTTTGACATCTGTAAGGGACACTGGACCCGATTTCCGGCAGGTGCTGCTCCCCACCAATAGATTGGAGCCACCCTCCACGAAGCGAGCAGGGGCTGCTCCTATCGCCGCTGCTAGCCTTCCCAGAGGAAGTGTTAAGAAAAAACACACGCACACACACACACACACACACACAAGGAATAGGCAGACCTGATCTGCCGCCCAGCAACAGGGCGCAGAGGTATTGGCAACATCCGCAGAAAGATACTCTCAGATGCTAAATCAGCCTCAGCTGCATGAAGTTTAGACAATGCTCAAACGCTGTTAAAGAAAAACTCCGAATCGGACGATGGACCCGTTTTCCAGCAGGTGAAGCTCCCCACCAATAGATGAAGCAGCCAGCAGTAGGCCCTACTAGGGGAGGATGCTCATATCACCCCACCTAGCAGACCTGGCTGGAATTCTCTCTCTCAAAAAAAAAAAAAAACCTGCAGCAACTGCTGTTATCTGCACACACAGTTTGGAGGGAAGTCGCATGTCAACCTGAAACCCTCCCTTTTTTCCCTTTAGTTTACAAGGTCCTTTTTTTCCCCCCTAACAGTGTCTCGCCGTAGACCCTCCCTTGTTCTTGTTGTTCTTGCTGTTCGTCTTTTTCTCAGCCTGAAACTCTCCTGAAGCCAAGTAAAAACACCATAAAGATTCTAGACTTCTAGTGAATGAGAAGCAGCAAGGAACAACACCACAATGAACCGACCATGACAACACAAGACTCAGGGCCTAGTTGCACCACTCACCATCCACCAACAATATGCTGGAAAGGCCAAGTTAACTTTTTCTGTTTTTCGGACTTTTTCTTTTTTCCTGTTTGTTTCTTTTTTTTTTTTTTCCGGAAACGCCAGTCGCAACTTGCAAGGGGGGGTGATAAGAGCAGCCCCCCAACTATCAGGCCTCCCTGGCTGCTCCAGTTTATTGGTGGGAAGCTGCACCTGCTGGAAACATGGTCCAGCGTCCCATAGAAAACAACGAACAGTAAGAACAAAATGTCACTCCCAGACCCACACCCAATTTGACTTACTCTCTCCGTTTATCCATCCCCCAATCTGCTGGAACCCCAGCCAAGCCCAGTAACACACCTCTCTTCCAGGACCCTTCCCGGTTTGGCCTACCCTACTTGGTCATCAGTCTATCCTTCCCCCCTGTTCACAAGTACCCTAGCCAAGCTCATCAAACTACCGCATCAGACGCTACCGCCTCCGCAGTTCGCCACCGCCCTACTCAGCTGCGTCAGCCTATACCATGCCCCATGCCCTGGCAATGCGGGCTTCCAGTAGTGGATCACACATCTCCCTGGCTGACGGCGGTCCCGGTGTCCTACGGCTGTCTCTTATACACATCTAGATGTGTATAAGAGACAGGACAAGGCTCTTCTTCTTCGCCCAACAATCTCCTCCTCCTTATCTCCCCCTTCTCTTATTCATACAAGAAATAATAATACAATGTTGAATGACTGGTCCAGAATCAATGTCCGAGTCTCTCTCCTACCTGTCTCTTATACACATCTAGATGTGTATAAGAGACAGGCTGCCACTCCTGGCCCGATGCCAGAGGCCCTATTCTACCACTCATGGAGTGTGTGGCCGCTGTCAATTCCTTGGCTTTCTCCAGATCGGCCTGACCACCTAAGGCAAAGCCCATCTCCCCGTAATCTACCCGCCCGCCCCTCCCCTGGAAACTTAACATTGAACTCCTGCCTAATCTGAGGCGCTTTATCTGGGATGTATAGCCATTTGTTGCGTAGTGTTATGACCCTGGCCAATTTCGAGGTACACATCCACCGGAAAGTACAATGCCATCCAATTGCAGAAAGAAATGAATGAACTTGACAGGAGAGAGAGAGGATTAGAAGAAGAAGAAGAAGTGAGAAAGAAGAAGAAGATGTACACCAGCAAAGACAATGACAAGGCTCTTCTTCTTCGCCCAACAATCTCCTCCTCCTTATCTCCCCCTTCTCTTATTCATACAAGAAATAATAATACAATGTTGAATGACTGATCCAGACTCAATGTCCGAGTCCCTCTTCTACTGCAGGTATCACTTAAGGTCTACCATAACCATGGCCGCCTCTCCCACTCTTCACTCTCATAGCCCGAGGCTATGGCGGACTACTGGGCCCTGCTCAGATGCCCAAAGGACAACCCAAAGCAGCTATGACTGCTCTAGCTCAGGCCGCCATGCCTGACCCTGCCCTGAAGCTTCTTGGTGTAGCTCTCCCCAGCTGGGGACTCCCTGCTGCAGCGCCCACCAAGGTGATGAAGATGGCTGCCACCATAGCCAGGTAAGTACCCCTGGCACTCCTCCCCCTTCCTTCCTTCTTCCTCTTTCTTCCTCCCTCATGTCCTTCTCCTTCGTCCCCAGCAGCGCTGCTCCAGCTTAGCGCTGCTCCAGCCAGGGCTCCACCAGTGTGTCGCCAAACTTGCACACCGAAAAAGAGGCCAGACTCTCCGCCCGGCCAGAAGATATAGCGGCCTGCTTTGCCTCTTGGGCGGTGACTTCCAGGCCGCTCGGCCTCCYWAGCAACCGGTACSTCCTCCCTTTCGGAGGGAAACATCATTGCAGACTCTGATATTGCCCGTACAGGCCCTAGACCCAGACTGGTTGGACTGATATCCGCCTAGACCTACCCTACAACTACTGGGCCTCTAAAAATGCCACTTTTGTCTTCTTCTGCTCGGCCTCCGGTACCTGCACATCTACCCCTTTCAGGTGCGGTACCGGCCTACCCGCTACTTGAGTGTTTTTCCCGGCTGCAACCCCTCAATGTCACGGCCACAGGTAAGTACCAGCCCTGAGGGCCCAACGAACGAGCAAGTGCCCTGACGGGCCACACCCATACTCATGCCAACCAGCACTCAGACAGGCACGGTCACACACACACCCAAGCCAACCAACACTCAGGCAGGCATGGTCACACACACACTCAAGCCATCCAGCACTCAGACAGACATGCAGTCCAGCAAGTGTGCACACACAGACTTAGTAGCAAGCGGGAAACTCAGCGGGGCATTCAGTCTATGGGCAAAACTCAGAAATCAGCTGTGTGTTTCAGTCCATGTATGGACGGGTCATCACACTACTCCCCCCTCAAGAGCGAGGTCCCTTCGAGCGAGTAACTCACTTTGAGTCCTCGACAAACGCATCGTAAGCGAGCAAGGCAAAGAGATTCCTAGWGTACYCTGTTGCAGTGAGCTTTGCAGAGATCTTAGGTACAGCGTTAGTGGCGATTTGTCGCTCATATGCTTTGACAACACGCGGTGCACTGTGTAGCAGTTCCTGTTTGGAAACCCAGTACAGATCGTCTAATGGGTGATACATGAAGTGAACCTGGTACTGTCTGTTGCGTCCCTTCCCTACGTGCTGTTTGATCCTGTCTATCTCGTGCCCGCCTTTGATCGCGCGAGGGATCATATCTTCGCGATAATCGAATGTCTTAGCATCATGGTGGAGGTACAGTTTGGATGCGTGGAACACGGGGTATGTGCGCAAATGGGCTGGCACATCAACGACGTACGAAGGGCCAAAGTGATCTTCACCAATCACATCCAAAACTTCCCAGGGCCCATAACAGAGAGGAAGGAGTTTGCGTGAGACTCCCTCTTCTTCTGAGAATTCAGACATCTTGACCCAGACATAGCTTCCTACCTCAATATCCGACGGTCGACGCTTCTTGTTCGCATGATGGATCATGGCGTGTTGTCGCTTGGTCATGCTGCAATGGCAACTTTGAGCAAGCGATCATACTTGACCCTGAAGCCAGGCCTGCCGGGTGTTAAGCCAGCTGGCTGCTCAGGGAATAGGTAAGAGAGCGGATTCCGGATCTGCCAACCGTAATGCAGCCTGTTGGGTGTCATGTCGGTGGCGGAGTGGACGGAGTTGTTGTATAACCCCTTAACGGAATACAGCTCTTCATCCCATGTTTCCTGATCCGAGATAATCAAAGCGCGAAGAAGTTGAAACACAGTCTGGTTGATCTCCTCAGCCAAACCGTTGGCTTCGGGGTGTCGGCCAGATGTCGTACACAGTTTGATCCCCAGTTGAGACGTGAAGTCCTTCCACTCAGTACTAATGAAGCGCGGATCCCGATCGCTCACAAGAGTCTTCGGGGTTCCGAACTGCAGAATGTACTTCTGTTGGAATTCACGAATCACTAGTTCTGTTGGGGCATGAGGCGGCAAAGGGATCAGATTGAGGAACTTAGAGAATTGGTCAACAATCACCATGACCTGTGAGTAGTCGTTCGTACTTACCTTTCCCATGTCGGTGAAGTCGATGGAGACAGACTCCCCGGGACCATCGGGAATGGGTATGGGTGTGAGTAGCCCCATCAGCTTTTGTCTGCGTGGTTTGATTCAATGACAGACTTGACATTCAGCCACAAACTTTTCAGCAGTCCCTTTGCCAGGGCAATCAAACTGTCTCAGCAAATTTGCGTACGTTTTTGCCATGCCGAAGTGTCCGCTACGGCCATGAGCCACATCCAAAAAGTGTGTGCGGAGAGGCTCATGGTTGGGCACACACAAACGGTCGTGGTTCCCGTAGCGACGAAAAATCAATCCTCCATACTCGTGAAAATCAGGCTGACTACTAGGATCAGCCCGCATCCGCTCAAGGATGGAACTAAGTTTCGGATCCTTGGTTGTCTGCTCTACGAGCTCCTCCTTCATTTTTTTCCGGAGGTCGTAGGATTTSACAAGGCAAGTCATGTACTCAGGGTGGCGAGACAATGCGTCAGCGACTCGATTATAACAACCCTTTTTGTGTCTTAATTCAAAATCGAAAATGTCAATCTCATGGAACCAGCGGAGCAAGGTGGGGGACAGGGTAGTTTGTTGTTTGATCCACTTCAAGGTCTCATGATCTGAGAAGACTTTGAAGTGGCGTCCCAAAAGATAGTGTTTCCAGTGATCCAACGCCATGCGCAAAGCATAGAGCTCGCGCATGTAGGTGGAAGTGGCTACCTTTACACTGGGCATGCGTTTGCTGTAGTACTCGAGTGACCGCAAGCCATCGTCGTCGTCTTGTTGCAGCACTGCACCGATTCCGTACTGGCTCGCATCCGTAGTGACTACCAACGTCAATTTGGGATCTGCAATGCGGAGTACTGGGTGACTTACCAAGGCTTCCTTTAAAGTTTGGAAGGCATTCATGCACGCGGCGTCCCAAGAATAGGGAACATTTTTACTGGTCAACCGTGACAATGGATAAGCAACAATAGAGAAGCGGGGCACAAACTTCCGATAGTATGACGCGAGAGCAAGAAAAGAACGCAGTTCGCGAATGTTCACGGGTTGAGGCCCGTCACGTATGACCTCCACCTTGGTTGCTTCAGGCTCCAAGCCTTCAGCAGACAACCGGTGCCCAAGATAGATGACACTATCCTTCCCAAACTCAGATTTTTCTAAGTTGAGATGGAGTTGCGTCTTCTTGAGGATGGTCGGTACTTCCTCAAGGTGCTTGAGGTGTTCCTCCATGGACTTTCTGAAGATTGGAATGTCATGGAGGCAGACCACCACAAACCGGCCAATCTGTTCGCGGAGGACTTTCTCCATGAGGCTTTGGAAGGTGGTCGGTGCGTTCATGAGACCGAAGGGCACTACGGTAAACTCGTAAAGCCCATCGCGTGTCTTGAACGCAGTCTTGTGCTGGTCCGCAGGATCGACTTCAATCTGGTGGTAGCCAGGTTTGAGATCGATCTTGGAGAAGACCTTGCACCCACCTACGGCATCAAGCAAGTCATCTATACGAGGCAATGGATAAGCATTTTTTCTTGCGATGCGGTTTAGACCGCGATAGTCAATACACATGCGGAGTTTGCCTCCTTTCTTTGGAACAAACAACACAGGAGCACCAAACTCAGATTCGTTGGGCTTGATCCACCCCTTGTCAATCATCTCATCAATCTGTCGCTGGAGTTCCTCCAACTCGCCGGGTCCCATTCGGTATACACAGCCCTTTGGAGGGACAGCACCTTCAACCAACTCAATGGTGTGTCGAACCGATCGCGTGGGGACTCCACGTGGCTCGGCCAGAACTTCCGGAAACCGATCGAGGAGGTTTTGGATGTCTGGTGGGACAGGTGGGGGTGGGGGATCAGCAAAGGAATCACCTACGTCCGGTCGCAGGTCGCGTATAGAGACGACCGAATCTGAAGTAGGATCATTTGGACCATTAGAGGGTGGAGAAATAGAGGTGCTAGAAGTAGAAGTACTAGAAGTAGGCTCACTAATCGAAGTAGTAGTGGTATTAGCCGCAAAAGTGGATGGCACATTGGTAGGACGAACAAAGGCAACATACAACTGTTCTTCCTCCTTGTGCTTGCGCCATTTCTTGCAGAACTGCATAGCATTCAAAAAAGTCACTGGGGACTCATGCTTCTCATCCAAGAGGACAGGAAGCCCGTTCCCTCGAGCACCTTTGATCATGCAAAGTGACCTTCCACTTGGTCCATTCGCATTGGGACTGCAGCCAGCCCAAGCCAAGGACAGCGTCGAAGGGGCACTTGTCAAGAACATAGAAGTTCAATGCGTGTGTAACAGTTTTGTCCTTGTCAAAGGTAGTGCGCACACCTTTGACTGCATGCGTATAAGAGAACTTCTTTGTTGCCAATTTGGGTCCGACAACGGTTCTGCAGGGCCACTTGCTTCATAGCCCACTTTGCGTATCCCGTGAGGTGACATAAAGTTAGCCGTAGCACCACAGTCAACCAAAACACGGAGACAGCGGTGGTTTATGAGAAGTTTGAAGAAGATCAACCTCACCATCCCCTGGGCACGCTGGTGTTTCATCTCAGCCCAATGCTCCAAGTGGTAGTGAAAATCGACCGTCCCAGACTCCTCCCAAGGCTCGACATACAAAACATTACTCACCTCAGCCTTGTGTTCAGCAGATGATTGGGCTTCAGGGGAGGACTGTTGATCTGCCTCAGATTCAGTCTCCCCTGCTGTAGAGTTTGCTGAAGTTGTCTCTACGCCCGGTTCTGGTTCCCTGCAGCCCATAACAATCTTGTACCTTATGGTTTGGTTTTTGGCAATGCAGGCATACCCCCTTCTTGAGTTTACCCCGCCAGTCAGTAATCATGAGGTCAACCCAAGGTTTAGTAGTTGCATCCTCCGGTTTAGGTGGGATCTTGACTCCCTTGGGAAGTTGGACATAGTTCTTCCCTGTACTCCGATTTGGTACTCCCTTGGGAAGTTGGACATAGTTCTTCCCTGCACTCCGATTTGGTCCCTTTGCATTGGCAGTCTTTTTAAAGGCAGTAAATTTTTCTTCTTCTTTGTTTGCATCAGACTCATGGGCTGAAGAACAAGCTGTATCAGAGTCTTGTTCTTGGTCGTCACCAAGAGTGGGGTCATCGACATTGGCTTCTTCTTCGGCCTCCAGCAGGTCGTGCACAGCAAAACTGTTGCTGCCTTTGAACCGTCTGCCGCCCATGGGCTTTTTGCTGCCTGCTGTGGTGACGAGGTCTACAGCCTCAAGACTGACAATGTCCGTCATCAAGGTGAACCAGTCAATGTAACCAATGAAGTCCCTGCCCAGGCGATTAGTAAAGTTAGTGGGAACCGCGCCTTTGACCACATTCAAGCAAGATTGAGCAGTTAGTTCCAATCCAGGTGTAGTGAACATCTTGCTAAGATAGGTCTGCAGGCTTTTCATGGAGCCCGTCCACTTGCTGCGCTTGATTTTGTCAAGTTGAATTCTCGCCCTTGCTGCAGCATGTGGATCCAGGTATTGTGAAATGAGGAGTTCCTCGAGGGAGGCAACCAGGGTGGCCTTAAACCATCTTGTTAGTTGAATTTTAGGAATCCCAACTCACGTAGCTTGGACCTCTAAGAAGCCCCGAACGACTGGCTCGACATTCATTCCCATGATCACGGACTGGTTCTCAGGTTGAGTCCCCAGAATCTCGAAATATGCCCTCATGGAGCTGATCCAGGATTCAATGTCTTCCTTGCCGTCGTACTTAGACGGTATTTGAACCGCCTTACGATCCACATAGGGACCGGCGTAGCTGGGACCAGCTCCTGCTGGTTCCAATCTTGGGGCTGCACCAATTGCAGAATTTCCAGCCTCGCTGCTTGTCACAGCAACAGCAGAATCTGCACCTGTTGCAGGTCCCGAGGGGGTTGCCAACACATTCAAGGAAGAAGATACAGTAAGAGAGGCAGAGGTAGTTTCAATTGCAGCTTCAGAACCAAGGGGTAGAGGAAGAGGGTTGGCCACTTGGGCTTGTCGCAGCTCAGCCACCTCCCTTGTCAATTCATGGTACTTGCGGGTCATATCAGTCAGATCATCTTGAAGTGCTTGCAACTTTGCGAAAACTTCAACGATCTGAGTGGCATGATCCTCAAGATTCCTTACTTGAACAAGGGTTGTGGGTATAGACTGCAATTGTTCCCCACGCTGCTCTTCAGTCAGTGAGGGAACAGTCTCGAGGATGGCCACTTGCCTTCTCAGCAAGGTCTCCTTCCTCTCCTTCTCTGCCTTCTGTTCCCTTTTGATTGCACTATCTAGGAGTGCTTGTAGATATGGTTTTTCTGCATCACAGGCTGCATCTAACAAGGCCCGCCATTGAACTGAAGTTAGCTGAGCCATTATTGGACCGTTAGTGTTGACAGGTGGGTCAGAGAGTCGCCAGTCAGCAAAAGAATCAATTAGACTCTCAAGAGGTTCACTCTCCCTCTCACTTGGACGAACACTCCTTTTCCCAGTCCTTGCCCACTTCAGACGGTCACTCTCCCTCTCTCCCTTTTCTCTCTCCCTCCTCTCTCTCTCTTCTTTTTGGGTGCGAGTCTCCACGGGCATCGGAAATGAACAGAGAGAAACAAATAGAAAAGCTCAGAGAAGAGAAGGTAGAACTCCTAGCCGGAGCGGCATTCCATTTGGAAGAAGAGAGCAGCAGACTAAAGAAAAACAAACAACTTCAAACAAGAGGTCTGGTCCAGCGACCCAGTCTGATCAGACTGCATACGAGGTCCTCTCGAGTCCAGTCTGACCAGCTCCATGACGGTACAACAAACCAGACAACGAGTGAATAAATGCAACAAATGGAGATTCGAGTGGTGTACAGGGTGCGAGTCAAGCCATGGATAGTGCAATCCAAAAGACATGTAAAACGTCTCAGCCAAGATCCCCTCGGCAGTGGGTGTCCTAATCCAAGAAGAATGAACTCCGTATCTCAGCCAAGAAGACAAGAGGCCAATGCCTAACCGATTTGGGTCTAGAGGCTCTTCTTGTTTGGGCCTGGTCCCACTGGGTCCCAGGGGTCCCACGAAGGTCTCAACCAGGTCTCAACCAAGAGGAGTTCCACATGGACTTAGTTCAATCTCTACTGCACTGAAAAATGAAATTTCAACTTCTGGCAAAGCCTACAGACTACAACCGTTCAGAGATGAAAAGACAAAGCACTGTGGAAAGACTCGGCATTTAGGTCAAGATACTTTATTTTCCATCCATCAAGTGAGTAGGTAGATCACATGCATTCAGTCACACAATCAAGACCACAGAGGAGTAGGAAAAGAAACCCAGAGTACCCCAACAGGACAATCAATACCATACACACATACATGGGCATCCCGTAGGTGCACGGCACTTACCTAAGTGGCCTTGAGCTTCGAGATGAATAGAACTCACCCTCCTTCTCATGTGGTCCTCATGACCCCTCTAACGCTACCCCTACACTAGTGTCCTATCTCCTAGGAGGGTCTGACTCCAACACCAAAGTGCAACGTCGGATCCCTCGTCGATGCTGAAGAACAAAGTAGTAACTTGCAGTCCGTAGATGCTGAGTGGCCGCTGACCCTCAAGCTCGCCTACTTGAGGGCAGCCCTTAAGTTGCCAAGTGTCTCCCTTGAATCAGATTCCAGGTGCGAGTGCCTCTCACTGTCGCCTCTCTCAAATCGCCGCATGAAGTCTCCTCGAAATGTCTCGCCACCCTCATCTCACTCTCAAGCAACCTGGTTAGGTTCTATGTCGACCCCACATGACCTAACCAGGTGGGGGCAGCTTCCCTCAACCACGCTGCCCCACTTTCCTTCACCAACCAGCCCTAACCCTAAGTGTTGCCCTCAACCACTTAGGTTAGGGTTAGGGCAGCAAAGTCAACTCTCACCAGCAAGTAGAATCCGCTCTGATACCAATGTTAGACCCTGGCCAGGGTAGTCACGCCTACGGTAGGCGGCCCCGGACCCGTCGGCTGCCGACCAGCCGACGGTAGGCGCCGTCGGCGCCGACCGGTCGGCAACCGGTCGGCACCCCGCCAAAAAAAA